TTCATACCTCATTATTTATTGATTGTACAGAAAAATGTTCTAGACGAATTTTGTAGGAAATTTAATGCTCTACAAAAAAGGTATCTTATATTTTTGCCGTAAACCTCACCATTTAAATGATATTGAAGATTTAAATTTGATGATTTTTAGACAAATTTCATTTTTATTTATGAATTTTATAACTCGACAATAAATGACTATTAAAAAGTGCACAATACAAATTTTGGTAGGAAATAAACTGCTCTATGAAAATGATGTCTTATGTTTTGGCGATTAAATTAGGCGTTCAAAAGATATTAAGAGACAAAGTTTCATGTGTACTGATATATATATATATATATATATATATATATATATATATATCATATAATTATTAATTATTATTATCAAACAAGATATCTTTATTGCAATTATTATTCATTATTTTTCTTTATAATAATTGTCTTCTACAAAATGTAAATTAGTTGAATATAAAGAATTTTTTTTTATAATTATGTGAGTTACATGTCAGGATTATAAAAACTATGTTTTTTCTTTCCATGGTCGTTCTCTTCATTATAATATTTCACGTAGGATTTAGTTCAATTGGTACCTTCAACTTTACTTACGTTTGTATAATTATACGGTTGCATACGTTGCATACATTACAGCTGATTTGATTTAATTTTTAATCCTAAATAACACAGTGTAGCAGAAACAAATTGATCAGAATAAATTCATCATGTTTACGATCTTTTGCAAAGTGTTAAAAAAGTGTAAAAGAATTAAAAATAATTTTCATTAAAAAAAATCTTTATATTTAAACAAAACAATAAAAAAGAAATTCTCATTGTCTTCAAGTTTTTGATCATCTATAAAAAGCTCGCATAATTGAAATTTCGTAACACGAAATGGTATCTTTTCCTTTCTCTTTATTCACAATCTTATACTAGATTTATTATACTTGGGGGTTTCTCATAAAGTCTATGGCGTTTAGTATAGAGTGAGTGGGCAGAATCCGGAAGTAAAGTGTAAGATTTCGTAGTATGTGTTTGTTAGTCAATATAAACGTGTGTTTAGGTCCTAGTTTTATCTAATAGAATGAGTGGTACATACATACACACTCGTGTATCTGTGAGTATGTAAATTTAACTCTTGCAAAAACACCTAGAATCAGAGTTCGAGTCAAACTAACTTGGGTTAGATTCGAATGGCTATTTTATATAATAAAAATACCATTTGAATGTTCCATTCGCCTGTTCACGACTTTGTCTAATGTATAATAGTTAAACGTTTGTATATATGTATATCTATACATATATGTATGTATCTATTTACTTACATGTATTCATAGGTGTATCTAATTGTATGTATTCGTTTGGATGTGTGAATGTATTTAAGTATTTGTTTGTTTTATGAATGCATCTATGCTTGTGTACATATGTGTATCCATTTTTTTAGTAATAGTTCGCTTATTCTAAGCCACGTGATTTCGATGGACGTTTACCTCGTAAATAAACGTACCTTCTAACAATTTTTTTTTCTATTTAAACAAGTGGAGTAGAATTAGAACGGTTTTACGTTCGTAAAACATTGCGTATTTCGAAGAATTTATTTCTTAAGAAATTAGTCGATATTATTTTCTTTTATTATTTTTGTATAGCTTTTTTTGATGGTCTAGATTTATATTTTATTTTTTAGATAATTTTTAGAATTAGATATGATTCGTGTTTAATATTCATTAAATTATTTTTTTGTTTCTTATAAAGAAGTTAATTAGATTTACGTTGTTTGTAGAAAAATCTTTGTGTATGTATTTATTCAAATATATTGTTATTTTTTATAAATTATTATTTATAATCTAAAAAGTTTAATTATAAAATTATTAATAATATATAAATATTATTAATTTATTTATAATAATATTTTATTAATTTTATATTATATTTAATATAAATATTGTATTATTTATATATTTATAATAATATTTATATTATAAAGATTATTAAAATTATAATATTAATAATTAATTTGAATATTAACTATACAAATTTAGAAATTTGTCTGTGTTAATTTATCCAAATATTGTTTCTTCTACAAATTATTATAAATAATCGAATTTTGTATATTAATTACAAATTTAGAAATTAGAAATAAATTTTAAATATACATTAAATAAATTTGACATTTAATATTAAATATTAACGAGAAATTTAAAAAAGAAAAATTCAATTTTTACAAAGAATGTTTCTTTATTAAATCTTCATGGTTATCAAATTGATTAAAAAAAAAATTCAAGATTAAATGATCCCAATTATTTCTCGAACTCCAAGAATTCGTAGGAATCAACTAAATTACAATGTCGGAACCTATTATGTAGTTGTTCACGCACAAACGTGATTTTCAGAGCGCAACGAAACTGGATTTTCGAATTTGAGGAGACGCAAACAGATTACAACATTATTCTTATATTCTTAACTGTGAGTTGGAAAGGCGTATCTTGTATGTGCGTCATACATACCAAGCTTTCTACGAGTTAGAAATATTAAATCTCCTCGAGATACTATCTATTCTTATATAGATCGATCCTTGACCGATCGATGACGTAGGTATTCATGCACATACACATATATGTACATTGAATTATATAGTAATTGTGATAATGATCGAAGGATTTGATCTAGCACGACTGTTCATGATATATTATATATTATTATTTACATTGTTTAATAAATCACTTCAAGAGTATAATAAATTTTATTATAAATTTAAATCAATAATTCTTTTTTTGTCTACATTGTTAATGATTAGGTATATATAAATAATAATTTTTTTTTAGAAGAAAAATTTATAATTTTCTGTAACACGGATAATTTATATATTATATTTTTATATAACTAATAATATATACAAATAATTTTTGTTTATATATGTATAAAATTATATAATACAAATTACCGATCTATAATATAATATTCTATTATATAATATAATATTATATTATAATATATAATAATGTTATAATATAATTATAATTATAATTAATATAATATAATATATATAATAATAATAATTATAATAATAATATAATAATAATATTATGGATATAATATATAATAATATAATATATCCATAATAGAATATTATAATAATATTATAGAATAATATATATTCTATATATATAGGTAATACCTTATTATATATTATTATATATATGCTGTTATTTATATCATATAATATAATATAAAAAATATTTTATCTATCGATTATACGATCTATAATATATAATCATTTATACAAATTATTAATCTATTTACATATAATCAATCATACAATTTAATAATTGTTAGTTTATTAAAAACATTTCACATCAAAGTATATTTCCTGATATGTTTTTAAGAAACTTTACATAATTTTGTTTAGCAATAGAAAAGAATTTTCTAAAGACTAAGAAATCATTTTAAAATCTCATAATCGAAAGAAATCGTTGAAGTTAACGTCAAAGAACGATTTGTCGATCAACTTTTCAACTTTTTTCACATTCAAAGTAAATTCGGCCAAGCTAGATCGTTCAGTCATGCAGATCAGAGATTGATAGAGAAATTTTCTGGTGAAACTAAAAGGCTAGGTACGAAAGGCTTGTCTAGGAAATAAGAATACTGTATAAAAAGAAACGAAAAAAAATAACAAAATTATTACACAAGGATTCACGAACTTTGAAACAAATTGAACGATCTCGTGTTCAGCGAAGCAACACTTCGATCTTGTTTTTATTATTTTGTGTCTTCCTCATTCTGTCTAGCTACTCGCACATCGATTTAATATTTTTTCTTCTATTAGTAACTTTAAACAATGGAGAACGTTTATGAATTATATAAAAAAAAGGAAAAGAATTTCTGTGATGTTGTATAAGCAAAGTAGAAAATATTGAAATATTTTGTTCAACAAAAATTTACCTATTTATATATACATAAAAGGAATGATAAATATTTTGTTAAGTAACTTTAAGAAAATATAATAAAAAATTTGTTTGCCCATCAGGTGATCATCAAATCTACAAAACAAAATGAAAATCCTCGCATTAGTGTTGGCACTAGCCTGTGCGGTACAATGTGGACCAGCAAAAACAAAGAAGGAAATACACGATCAAGAAGCAGAAAGTTACGAATACGCTTACGCAGCTCAACCCGAAACACTGTTGTTAGATACTCATCTTTTGGAAGCGGGTCCAATAGCAGTGCCTAGTAATACTCATTTATCAGAACATCGTTCACATACACGTCCAGGTTATAGCGTGGGTGGTCCTTTGGCAAGTATTGCTCAAGGTGCTGCTGAACAGGCACACACGCAATTAGGAAATCAACATTCGGCAGCAGGACAAGCAGCATACATGGCCAAGAACACGTTGGCTCAGGCTGCAGCTCAGTCAGCTGCAACTGCTGCTGCAGCATTAGCAGGAAAACAGATTATCGTGATGGGTCTTGAACAACAGTCACGAGATGCTCATGTTGCCGTTGATGGTGAAAAACAACAACTTCTACAAGCTCAACGTGCTGCCGCAGCTGCCCAAAATACAGCTCAACAAGCAATGCATCAAGTCCAAGTGATCACTGCAGCTTTGAACGCTGCACAGGCTACTTCCGATCATGCCAATCAAGCTGCAGCCGAAGCTCAAGCTGAATTGGCTGCTCAAACTACCATGGTTGGACAAGCCAAAGCACGTGCAGAAACCATCGAAGAACAACTCAATGCAGCTCGTGTCGATTTCGAAGCAACCCAAGCAGCCGCCCAAAAAGCTGCCAACGCTGCTTCCGCAGCTCAATCCAACGCTGCTGCTGCTGCAGCTCATGCCGCGAATGCAGCAGCTGCTCACGTTGCTGCTACCTCAGCAAACAGTCATTCTGGCGCTGCTCATAGCAATCTCGTAGCACACCTTGGTGAACCACTTACGAACGCTGTACCCGTTGATGCGTTCGATTACAAATCTGCAGCTTATCATTATTAATTATTATTATGATAAATATTAGTTATTCGATCAGTACTTTAATTCGTTACATGTGCTTGACATTTCAATTTTTTTCTTATTTCTTATTATTTATGGTTTTTTTCTATGTGTAACAAATTGAGCATAAGTGAGTCAAATTCTTTCGAATTTTTTCTGATCTTCCTAAGATCTGTTTATATTTAAAATTAAAATACATCATTATGCTATAATTCGAAACTTAAAATTATAGAATATAATTGCAACGAGAAACTTTGAGGATCATCTTAACAAAAATAAAATCTTGTTATTATTCATGAAATAAAAGATTTGTTCATTACTTTAAGTAAATAAAAGTAAAAGTACTTTTACATTTCATTTATTCGTACTACGTTTAATTTGATCATTTAAATTTCATTTGATCATATGATTTAAATTTTATTTGATTATTTAAAAAAGTAATTAGTAAAGCTAAAAATAATGATAAAACCAAAATAAAACTATAATCTCGGCTGGATTTGAAGGTATAAACCACCTTCCGTATTCAATGTTAAGCTTCCTGGTAAAAACTTAATTTTCTTCGGTGTTTTAGGTCCTGGTGAATATGTGAACTTTTGTAATGCATTCGTAAGGACTACTTTTGTTTGTACTAATGCAAATCTCATACCTAAAAAAACATATTCGTTCGTTATAAAAGAAAATAAAATTATTAAAATGGGTATTATGTTTTCATTGAGAATTTCCTATTGTGTACAGTATTATTACATACCAATGCATATCCTTGGTCCTTCCCCAAATGGCAAATAAGTGTATTGATGCCTAGTACGAATGTTTTCCTCCGTAAATCGTTCAGGAATAAATTTTTCTGGTTCAGGATAAAATTCAGGATCATTGTGTAATCCAAGAAGTGGAATAATAACTGGAGTACCTTTAGGTACGACGACATTTGAATCAGGTAATTCGATATCTTTTAGAGCTATGCGATTTAGAAAAGGTAATGGTGGATATTTTCTCAATGTTTCTGTAATAATTAAATCCAAATGTAATATTATTCAAGTCATAAATATTTTATCATTTACATTATTAAATTGTGTACCAACCGCTTACAACCATATGCAAATAAGTCATCTCACTGATAGCATTGTATGAAATACCACCGTGTTTTTCTAAAACTCTGTCTATCTCTTCTTGCGTTTTCTTTTGAATTTCTGGATTCATGGCTAATTCGTAAAGACAAAAAGTTACCGTTGATGAGGTAGTTTCAAAACCGGCCAGAAAGTAAACGAATGCTTGAGCTGCACCTTCTGGCATTGTGAGTTTTTTTACTTCTTCTGTAATGATAACAAAGTTAAATGCTATTAATAATAATATTAATTAATTCTAATTTTGACAGTGTTCGTAAGTTCAAAAATTGAACTAATTTATTATACGATTTATTTGAATATTTTAATTAATTATATTGTAAAATAAAATATATTATATAAAATATTATTTATAAATATTATATATATATATTTATATTATATTATATTTATTTTATATAAAATATATAATATAATATATGTATATTTATTTTATATGTATTAAATTTAATTTATATATATTTTATTTATATTTTATATATATATATATATATATTAAATCATAAAATAAACTTTGCCAATTTGTTTTTTAATTTTCTGTCAAATTATCGGCACAAGTATTGGTATTATTGAATAATGGAATAAGAAAAATATTTGTTTATTTATTTATTTATTAATAAAATAATTTTAATGAGTTAATAAAATAAATATATAATATAGAACTTACTCGGTGTATCATTGTCGGAATCAACTCGTTTTTCCTCATCACTTTTGACGTATCCATTTTTCATCAATTGCATTATCAAATCAAGAAAATCTTTTCTAACGATGTTATGAGCCTCTCGATAATTTACAGTATCTTCAAAAGCGCTTAGGAAAAATCGTGACACTTTTTTATCGATAAATGGTATCGAGAATAAATCCAATATCTGAGATCCAAATACCATTAAAGTATTTATAATTGGTCTCGGCTCGAACATCTTCTTTCCATAATAACGAAATTCTGATTTTGGGTTTTCCAAACTATTACAACTTATTCCAAATGCAATTGACATTATGATGTCTGTGAACAAACTAAATTGTAACATATTTATTAGTTTCATCTGATTTAACCTTTTGAGTGTTGAATACTTTTAACTGAAATGTTTTGTAGTAACGGAATAATTAATTATTAACCAGGTTCTAATAATAAATTATATTTATTAATTTATATTTATGTTATATTAATAATATATATTTTATTAATAATAAATTTAAAATAAAATTAAAAATTTTAATTAATTATATAATTTATATATAAATATATTAATATTAATATAATTTGAATTATATTAATACTAATTATAATTATATTTATTAATTATATTTATATTAATTTATTATATTATATTATTATAATGTATATTTATATTAATAATATTAAAATAATTTTATATTATATTAATAATAAACTAATAATTAAAGTTTTTCTTTCTGAATATAATTTAATTAATTAATATAAATATTAAATTATTTTACATTAATATTAACAAACACGTATATGCGTCGATAGACCATTTTGATAATTTTTACCAAACGCATATATGCGTCCATAGCACTCTAAAGGTTAATAATTTATTTCCAACAGTATAAATTTCAAATCGTATTGATTTTTGTTAAACTAAATTACATGTATAATTCTTTTGTTCTTTTTTTTATTAATGAAAGAAAATACAATTAACTCTAACATAAGCTATAATTATAAATAATTTATGCTGATGTGATGCATTAACATAAATAACAAAACATTTTAAACTGATAAATGCGTAATAATTAACTAAGCAAACGTATAGATCAATATTAACATTAAATTTGATTTATACGCAAATATACGTGACTTTGAATTATTCCATTGGAAATAATAAAAAATTAATAAATAATAAGAATTCTTCTTACCATGAAAAAATTTCTTTTACGTCGATTTCATTCTTATCATGTGCTTTCTTTTCTAGAAAATTTTCCAACAAATCTCCATTTTCTTGTATAGTATCAAACATATTTTTGATTTTTCCTGATGTAAATGTCGGTGTCAAACGTACGCGCAAATTTCTCCATTTTTGTCCAGGTAAAAAAAACAGGTGTCCTGTTAATGGATCTACCTTTTCGTTGCAGTATAAACCACGATCGTGAAAAGTTGCAAATTCTTTTGTTAATACGAAACGTATCAAATTTGGATCATTGATCACAAGATTCGGTTTGAAAAATGAATACGCTCCGACAAAAGGATGCGATTTGTTTTTCATGTAAATTTCTCCGAAAACATCACCTGTAAAAATGATCAAAAATAACATTTTTAAATACAATAATTGATTTAAATAAATTTTTTTCATTTAATTATTTTCATTAAATTTAATTAACACATTGATATATTAAAAAGAAAAAAAAGAAAAAGTTGCAATTTTTTTTTGCACAATGTGTGTGTGTGTGTTTTTTAAATTCTTTTTTCTGATTACATATTATAAAGTTTCACATTTTTTTTTTACAAGATAAAATAAGCAAAAATAAAAGAGTTTTTCATGTAACATAAATAATTTAAAACGTAACTTATGCGTCAGTTTATTTCTTAAAAACTTGGAATCAAGGATAAATTATAAAAAAGAATTTTAAAATGTGGAAAAAATGATTGTTATGCATTAACCGTTAAGATTAGATAAACGTGATTAGTTTTTGTGATTTAATAAGAACATACTAATTGAATGACAATAAATTTATTTTTAATGCAATATCTTTCATTAATAAAATATAATAGTGAATATTATTTTATAAAATGTAATATCATTTGAATAAAATTATTTATTAATAATATATTATATTTATTATAATAATAAGCTATATTGTTAACAGGATATGTTTCTTTAATGGTTTACATGCATTTTTTATTATAATAAAAATTTAATAGTAATGCAACAAAATATAAATTTTATAGAAAATATAATTTTGTATATATATAATATATATACAAAATAATAATTGTTAATAGGTAATATAAATAAAAATGTAAGTATAATGAATTAAAAATCAAATTATTTAATTATGAAAATATTGAAGTATATTATTTAAGCAGTATTTAATTATATTAAGGGAATATAAAAATATCTTTTATTATCTTATATGATAATAAATGCAAGAAATTAATTAATATCAGATAAAATGTTGTTTGTTCCTATTGATATCGATTTAATTAAAAAATAAATCAATAATTATGATATAATAAAAAACAAGTGGATGATATCGGTGATAAAAAGAGTAACCTTTTAAAAAATAATCTTTCCTGTAAAAATTTTATAATCTATGTAATATTCAATAAAAACTAATTGGTAAATATGGTAATTATTTATTGAAATATTGGTATATATTTCCTGTAAAAATTTATAATCTATATAATATTTAATAAAAACTAATTGTTAAATATGGTAATTATTTATTGTAATATTTGTATATATTTCCTGTAAAAAAATTATAATCTATATAATATTTAATAAAAACTAATTGGTAAATTATATTTTGGTAATTATTTAAATATGTAGTATATATTATATTATATTACCAATTATAAAATTGGTAAATTATATAATTTTTTTTTATTTATAAATTAAAAAATTAAATCATATTTTATGCAATTTATGCTATTTGTGATCGAAAAGTTTACCTTTTGATAACGAGTACTTGATGAAAAGTTTCCAATGTTTGAATTTTAGTAAAATATGAAAAATATGCAAACAATATTATAATAAAATATTATTTCACGATTTCAACATTATCAATAGTGTAAACAAATAACAATAAATGGAGTTCACTTATATTGAAGTCACAAATTACTAATAGTCCCTCGTTTTCTTTTATTTTTATTTGAAATAAAAGAATACATAGTGAAATAATATTTCATACTATTAGCACACTTCTATTAATTCTATACTATTTTATGCAATTACTTTACAGATAGTGTTATATACAAATTTTACAAGAATAGTTTCATTTTTTTTCAATCAAATTTTACAGATCAAAAATCCTGATAAAGTTTCGTGCTGTTTGAAAAATAATGCAATTATTTTAATTGTAAAGTTAACAGTCAGATTCCAGACATTTGAGTGAACCAAAATTTTACATTGAATTACAAATTACAGACAATAAAAGATTATCTTTAATAGATTGCAGATTTTTTTACTTCAATGATTAAATAAGATTCCACTTTGCTAAAAAGATAAAATGAGATATAAAAGATATTTTTTCGTTGATAAGATTGTTTAGTGATACAGGATTATATCGTTAAAATATCTTTTTACATAACGGAAAATAATACATACAACGTCATTCCTCTTTTTATGAGAACAAATTATGTATTATGTAAATGTAAATGTATGTAATTATTCAGTTAATTATTAAATGAGTTATTTTACATTATAATATGGCACAATAAATATTTCTAATTAAAAATGAAATAACATTAAAAAAAATCAATTTATTAATTTATTTATTATAAATTTTATGCATGAAATAATCAAATAATAAATTATCAAGAAATCAAGAAAATCTGTTTATTGTAAAATTGTAAAATTGTAGAAACAGATATTAATCAAACAATGCAGTTATAATAAGCGTTTACTGATAAGGTTTCATCAAAGCATTTATCTTATCTTTCATCTTTTTTATTTTAATTTCGAGTAAAATGAAGAAAGTAAATGATTTTTGTATTTAATAATTATTAATGGTAAATATTAATTTTTTTGTTAAAATAATATTATACTTATTTTTAAACCTTAATATAAACTCTTATACTTTTTTTTAAATGTTCAAGAAATAATTATTGCATATGCAAATATATTTACTTGAATAAAAAGTTTCTTGTCTTCTTTTTATTTAAGCAAACGTATTATTAAATTTTATTATCTATAATAGACAATTATCTGCTATATGTGTGTAATATAGTTATATTACGTATAGATACGATAAATATCTTTGATTTGAAATTATGTAATAATGATAACAAAAGTTCGTATAATTATGGAAAAATAAAATGAAATAAATTATTTGTGTTACGAGTGCAAAAAGTGATAAATTTTGGATTATAGATTTTATTTCATGTATAAATAGATATGATGGTGTGTTGTATACACATTTCTTTGTTTATAAATAAATCTAAAAATTAGAAAAAATGTATAGGAATAATATACAACTTAGAACTGTATTAATTTTATTAATTCAAACAGAATTAATAAAACAGCTTACATTTATCTTATTTGATATTAAATGATATAAATCAATATGTGAAATGACATAAATGAATGCTTGTACTTATTGTTTAGCAAGATTTGTGACAACCATATATTATTTTTGAACAAAATATACTTTTCATCTAATAATCATAGAAGTTATACTTCATAAAAGTTTATTTAAAAATGCCCACGATGGCGATGTATGATTAATCATACAACACTTAAGTGTTTCTTAAAACAAAACAAAAAAAAAACATCATGCTTCATATTAATAATAAAAATGATTAAGTTTTTGTTTTAATTTAGGAATTTATTTAAATCAAAAGAAAAAAAAATATAAAATGATAATTTACCAATAGCTTTTTTCTTGAGAATCAATTCAATGAGATTTCCAGCAGGAAACGTTGGTTCTTCGTAAGGTACATTTCTCTTTTTCCAAAAATTGAAACAAATTAATTTAAAATACAAATATATTCCTGTTATAATAAGAAATAAAACACCAAATAATTCCGAAAATATCCAAGTGGTCATCATAATGATGATGATGATTATTATTATTATTATTATTATTATTATTATTGTCAATATGTTTATTGTAATCTAACATAAAACTGTCACCAAATCTTATTTTATATACAAACTGATTGGTATACTGTGAACAAGTAAATGCAGAAATGATTGAAGAAATGTTTTGCTTCTTCATTATATAAGATAACGCAAAACATATTTTGCTTTCATTATCTATGATAGTAAATATGCTGTTCTCTTACTAATTTTATTGATTTGATTGAATTGAATGATTTTTGTTTTGTTGAATTGGATGAATGAATTTAATTTATTTATTTGAATGAATTTAAGTTATTGTTTTTAATGAAACTATTTCATGATGTGTTTTACCAACAGCAGAGTTAATAGCTCACCTGAATTTTCCTCATTAATATATTAACTGTATCAATCATTGTTTAAGTGTAATGTTCTGACAAAAATTGTTTTATTCAATGCAGCTAGGTCTTTATAATAATATTAATATATATCTATAATAAAAATTGCATATATAACTGACTATTCATGATATTTACATGTTTTCAAAAACGAACATTTATGATCATTTCAAAATTCTTTTTATTTTTATGATATTATCTTCTTCTTCTTCATCTTTTTATTAGAACTTAGTTCTGTTATATTTTTATGATATTATATTATTTATAACTGTAGCTATACAAATGATAAGATTGCAATGTATAAATGCAATTTATATAAGTTAAAAAAGCAATGTATAAATAAGGTTAAATAATACGTTAATATTATAATAATTATTTATTATTATATTTTATTATATTATTTTTTATTAATATTTATATTATATTAATTATATATATTTATAATATAATATATTAATATATTAATATATTAATGTGTATAATATTATGTTTTTTTTCCATTATAATTTCTTTCTTTTACTTTCTCTCTTTTATTTATAATTTCAATTGTTTTTTTAAATAAATTTTATGATAATAAAGTTACTATTATCTGTTATTTTTTTTTTATTTATTATTTAATATATGATAGCAAATAGATATAGTAAAAATTGCTGAATCCATTGCATTATTTCTATTATTTATTCATAAACGAGATAAGCAAACTTGTATTTATCTCGTTTTTCAAGAAATGCAATACATTTACCTTATAAGTTAATATGCATTATTTAAATATCTTGAAAATTGTCAGATTTATATACCAAGGTAAGGTCAGATACGATCTCCTTAAATTTTTTCAAATTTTTTACACTTGCATTAGTCCATGAGAATAATTATTGTGCTTTTAAATGTGACGTATATATTCCAGGTGGTCGGTAAAAAACGTAGATTGAAGTTTTACATAAATACGTATTTCTTTAGATGTAGTAGTACAGTAATCTATAATTGTGGCACTGTATATGTCATTGAAGTCACCTATGACTACATCTTATCTTGACAGTGCAAAGTATCTTTTTTAATGAATTTTTTCTTCTTCTTTTATTCAATTTTTTATTTCTTTTATAAAATGCAATATACGTCTGAAAAACTTATCTTTCAAGTAAATGTATAACGAATATCACCTTGAAAAATACATCGTTTTTGTCATACTAAACAATTAACTCTTTATTATTATTTAATTTATAATTATTTACTCTATTATTTGCGTAATAAAAATAAATATTGATTTTTTAATAAAATTAATAACGTTAGCAATAAAAATAAAAAATTCATACACCCTATGATACAAATGCACCTATTGTTTTTTTTTAAATTATATTCTTTATAAAATTAATATAAAATACACTAGAAAAAAAGAAAAAAATAATTTATTTAGCTTACTTCACAATAAATACTAATATAGTAGATATCGGTGACTTCATTAACACACACACAGTACACACTATTGTAAACTACTACAACACTACAGCTAAAGGAATCCATATTTATGTAAAATTTCAATTCACGTTCTTTAATAAACGACTGAATATATTCACTAAGTTTAAAAATATAATAAATATTCTCATGGACTACTACAAGTGTGAAAAATTTGAAAAAATCAGAAGGGGTCCTACATGACCATCCCCTATTAGATAATATGCAACTATTATGACCTTATAAAACAAAAATAGTAAGATGGATTTTCTATAGAAAAGATATTTTTTTAAATAATACAAAAGTAATTAGCCCTAATTGTAATTACAAAAAAAAATAAATAAAAGATTATTATTATTATTAATTGGCATTAGGAACTCGAAAGTTTATTGCCAGAAATACCAAATCATGCCATTTTTAATAAAATTTAATTAATTAATTAAATAATTACTTAAATAATTAATTATATAAATTAATAAATAATATAATAATAGTGTATATATATATAATTAATAATTATTAATTAATTTAATTTAATGTTATTTAATTTATTTTTGTTAATAAAAGATAAAAGACTAATTTACCTATGGTTTGTTTATCAAGAATCAATTCCAAGAGATTTCCAACAGGGAAGATTGGTTCTTCGTACGGTACATTTCTCTTTTTCCAAAAATTGAAACAAATTAATTTAAAATACAAATAAATCCCAGCAATGATAACAAACAAAGCACCGATAAATTCTGATATTATCCATCCGTTCATCATAATTGTCATTGTTTTTAATATGTTTGATTTTAAACACTGTTATTGTAAATTGTATTTTGTTAGATACAGATTGTATCACAGACAGAGAGATGTATCGCGATAAGAGATGATATTTCAAATGACTTAAAAGACATCTTACATTTTCATTATATAAGAACTTGCAATGATTTTAAATATGATAATAAGAAAAAATCAAACAAACTAATAATTTCAGTCTTGACGTTGTTTAATAGATGTGCTACGATGTTCTATCTTGATTTTTCTTTTTTTTTTAATTATCATTGCTACTTCCTTTCTAATATTATAACATCAAAGCTATAAAATATACTTTGTTTTTTATGACATAATAGCTAACTCTGTTGTAGCAAGGATTTCATTATTTCATCAAGTGTTCTTATGTCATTTATAAAAGGTAAACAATTCTGTAATTATGTTATTATTTAAATAATGCAAAACGAACATTCATCACGTAATATGATTTATGACATTCGTTAAACATCTTATGGAAATTTATCTAGAAAAAATATGTTCATTAAATAAAAAATAGTAAAGTTAGATTAATTATATCGAGTTAAAAGAATAGAAAATTATTTATTCGTATATAAATCGTTTAAAAGATACATTTTTCTATCAAATTAATATTGATTAGATTTCTTCTAAAATTAATTGAAGTCATTAATGAGAAAAAATATATCGTTAACATAATTTTTTTTTTGTTATTTTTTTAATATTTTTTTTCATAACTTTTCACTTCATTTTTCCACTCGAGTTAATTCATACATCCACCTACTACTGATTTTTATTTAAATATACTTTGCATTTCAATTATTTGTTAATGATTATTCATAAAATAACTTAGTAAAATGATGAATCAATAATATATTCATTTTTTTTATTACTCGATACATTGATTATTATTAAACCAGAGAATTTATATAGGATCATTACAGAAAGTAATAAAACACAATTTATATACCAAGAATCTATTTTTGATTACAATTTATTCTAAGAATCTCAATACAAATATTTTTTTTCTTTGAGATTATAATATTAACGATTAATAACAATTAAAGATGACATATATTTTCTTTTAAAATTTATATACTTCGATAGTTATGAATAAACTGTTAAGAAATTAGTTTTTTACATAAAAAGAAGTATCAATGTAAAAATTTAATCGCCAAAACATAAGACACCATTTTTATAGAGCAGTTAATTTCCTGCACAAATTTGTCTTAAAATAATCAAACTTAAATCTTCAATATCATTCAAATGGTGAGGTTTACGGGAAAAATATAAGATACCTTTTTTTTAGAGCATTAAATTTTCTACAAAATTATGCCATAACTTTTTTCTGTACAATCAATAAATAATGAGGTATGAATTTTAATCTATTAGACTGAAAAAAAAAATAAAAAACTGCGATGCGGAGGATCTTCCTATTAAAATTAAGAGCTCATATTTGGTGAGAATTGTTTTAAGGTGTCTAGCAACCCATTTTTCCGTGTCACTTGTAAAAAAAAAATAATTCGCACATTTTTACGAGAAGCCACAAATTAACAATGTATTTTAATAAATATGAATAAACATTATTATTTATTAATTATATTCACTAAAAATGTTGAAAATTTCACTAAAAATGTTGAAAATTTCACTAAAAATATCTAAAAAAGCGCAATTTTTTTCGTCTTCTTTATCTTTCTTAACCAGTATTTATCTTTTTTATTATAGTTGTAATTTTTATTGAGATATTGCATAACAAGTGTACATTTAACAGGAAAAACTTTTAAAAACCAGTTTTCATGAATAAATAACTATGATTATCCGCCTATTTGTGACTTCTGGTGATTTATGTCTGAGATAATCAATAAGATAAATAGGTGAGTCTCTAAAATGGCGAAAGTTCCTTTTAAAACTTCTTCTGGAGTGGTCAGCAGGTCAAGTTTTTATTTAAAAATTTGATAGTTGCATTTTCTAGGGGTATGGCAACTTATTTCTTAGTAAATTCTATTTGTTTCAATAGTGGATTGTAGTGTGTTTTTATTTGTTATTTGGTGTTGCAGATTAGAGAATGAAAGGGTTTCGTTTATGTATGAGATATCAATTACTGTATGCAGGATTTTTGTTGCTAATCCTGGTCTTCCTTTTATAAATTGTACAGGAATAGGTGTTTTGAACTACTTGGAGTTTTTAGACATAGTATGAGGAAACAGTTCCCCAAACTTGAACTCCATAGTTCAATTTTTGAATTCATTGGGATGGCATTGATGTAAAGATTGAACAATGTTGGTATCAGGACTAAATCCTTGGGGAACTCTAGTAGGTACATTTACTGGTGTTGAAATGACATTATCAAGCATGACTTGAATAACTGTTGTTTAAGCAACTATGCAGTATTTTTAACAAAGTATCAGGAAATTCAAGCTTACGTAACTTTAGAAAGAGCCTATGATGATAAACAGAATCAAATGTCTTATTTAAGTCTATTAGTGGCATGACAATCGGTTTATCTTTGTTATGTTCATCAGCGATATCTTTAATGACTAGAATTAATTCAAATATGGTGGAATGGTTATTTCTGAATTTTAATTGTTCTATTGTTTTATGTAACCTACATTCAAATATTTATATTTATATCTTAATTATTAATTTAAATTCACCATATTGTATATAATTACAATTATATAAATACAATATATATATAGCCCAATTTTTTCCTAACAGATGCATTTTAGTTACTACCGTGACTACCAGTGGGCGATAGTACGTACTTAACGCAATGACGGTACACTATCAAAGAACGGTACAATTTTATTAAAGAACTCTACAATACTATCAAAGAATAAAGTATTCTACCTATTATCGTCCAGTGGTGGTCACTAACTAAGATGAAGAAATAATTTACATTACCTACCAAACTTTTACCTTACTTGTTTAGTTCATATTTCGCCCACATTTGTCGATAAAATCGCACACACTTCAAGTGACAGGTTATGATAGCTATTATTGTTTATTATCAAATTATTAATATTATTATCATTATTATTATAAATAATAACTTGTATGAAATCCATATAATTATTACAAAATGAAATGATAACTTTAATTTCTTTTATTTCATTATTGGTTCTTATATAATTGATTGTTGTTGTGCTTTGATTGTCAGAAACATTGAAGTAAATGTCATTAACAAGATATTATTTTTTTCAGACATTTAAAAAGCTTCGATGCATTTCTAAACTGAAGTATTTAAAAATAACAAAATGTTTGTCTATCTAAGCAAAAAGATAGCAATACCAAATAATTTCCGTTTGAATTGTATAGCATGGAATCAAAAAGAAGGATATATAGCAGTAGGTGGAGAAGATGGTCTTTTAAAAGTACTGCGAGTAGAATCTGTGATGGGTGTTAATAACATGAATGGAAAGTCACGTAATTTGACTGCTGCTAGTAATCTGAGTATGAATCAAACTTTGGAAGGTCACAATGGTCATGTACAAGTAGTTACCTGGAATGAAGAACATCAAAAGCTTACGTCAAGTGATCAAAATGGTGTTATCATTGTTTGGATGATGTATAAAGGTTCTTGGTACGAGGAAATGATTAATAATCGTAACAAATCTGTTGTTAAAAGTATGTCTTGGAGTCAAGATGGTCAAAAGATTTGTATTGTATACGAAGATGGTGCTGTTATTGTTGGTTCTGTTGATGGTAACAGAATTTGGGGAAAGGAATTGAAAAATGTTTCTTTATGCAGCGTACAATGGTCACCTGATGGAAAATTACTTTTATTTGGATTGAAGAATGGTGAACTTCACTTGTATGACAATCAAGGGATATTTTTAACAAAGTTAAATATGGTACAACAAATACCTGGCCAATTACAAACAATAGTTACATTGCAATGGTATAATGGGAGAAATGGATATATCGCGATGGATTGTCCTACTTTAGCTATTTGTTATCAAAGCGGTAAAATATTATTAATAAAAGATACCAATGATGACAATCCAGTTGTTGTAGAAACTGGTATGACCACTGCTTGGTGTTGTTGGAATTGTCATGGTTCTATATTAGCTGTAACCGGTATGATGCCATTTTTAACTAATGGAGAAACAAAAGATGTTAATGCTATACAATTTTACACTCAATTTGGAGAACACATAAGAACTTTAAAAATACCTGGTAGAGAAGTAACAGCTTGCGCATGGGAGGGTGGTTCATTGAGGGTTGCTTTGTCTGTTGATTCTCATATATATTTTGCTAATATACGTCCAGATTATAAATGGACTTATTTCAGTAATACCGTTGTATTTACTAATGAAAAAATTAGTAAGGATGGTATATGTATTACATTCTGGAATACTAGTAATAATACATGCTGCACTAAATTTGTACGCACTTTAATTTCTATAGCATCTTGTGAAGAACATTGTGTTCTAGCAGTGAAGAACGATCTAATGCAAGGATCAGAACAATTTGCATTATTAGTTTGTAATACCATAGCCACGCCGATAGATACTAAATTTTTAGATATAGAACCTTTGTACGTAACTATTACTAGTAACATTGTTATTGCTGCATCTAAAAATAATTTTATACTTTGGACTTTTCGAACGCCACGTAATTCGGCATTACTTACTGGAAAATTACGTAAAGAAAAAATTTATCACGTTGATGATACTCCAACCGGAGTAACAGAAGTTATACAGGATTTGGATAGAGATAGATCTTTTGAATCACCTACAAGCACCAAGCCTACGATGGACCCAATTTCATGTATTTGTGCAACTGAGAAACTTTTTCTTATTGGAAGAGAATCTGGAATGATACAACGTTATTCTCTACCACAAGTTACTCTTATGAATCGATATAATGCATCTTGCAAACTTTATAAAATGGCTATAAATTGTGATTCAACTCGTGTTTCTATTATGGACACGTCTGGAGTTCTTACTATGTTAGATTTAGATATACATAAAGGTACTGATTCTATGAATACGAAGACAGGAGATAATGTAAGCAAATTTGAAAGGAAAGATGTATGGGCAATGTGCTGGGCTCAAGATAATCCTCTGTTACTTGCAATTATGGAGAAAACAAGAATGTACGTTTTAAGAGGATTAGATCCAGAAGAACCTATATCGTGTTATGGATACATATGTTTTTTTCAAGATTTAGAAATACGATGTGTTTTATTGGATGATCTAATCGAAAAACCAGATGAAATAAAAAATGATTTATTAATAGATTTGGAAGTTAAATCATTAAGAGATACAAGAGAACTTTTAGCAAAAGTTGGATTGAAAGAAGCTAATAATTTTATTCAAGATAATCCGCATCCTCGATTGTGGAGATTATTGGCCGAGTCAGCGTTAAAAGTATTAGATTTAGAAACTGCTGAAAATGCAATGGTTCGTTGTACGGATTACTTGGGTATACAATTTATCAAACGTTTAAGAAATGTTCATAATGATCAGTTGAAAAAAGCAGAAGTTGCTGCGTTTCTTGGAAATTATGATGAAGCTGAGAAATTGTATTTGGATATGGATAGGCGAGATCTTGCTATAACGTTGCGTCAAAAATTGGGTGATTATTTTCGAGTAGTTCAATTGATGAAAATGGGGATCGGTGGATCTGACAAACAAATGGAGCATGCATACAATAAAATTGGAGATTCTTTTGCTGAAAGACAAAACTGGGAAGGTGCTAGAGAATATTATGAGAAGGGACGTAACTTGGAGAAACTTATTCAATGTTATTACAAACTAGAAGATTTTATACAGCTGGCAGGAACAGTAGATCAATTACCCGATAAAAGTCCAATTTTAAAAACTGTTGCAAAAATGTTGTCTTCGGTAGGTATGTGTTCGCAGGCAGTTGCAGCTTATATCAAATATGGTGATGTTAAGTTAGCAGTAGATACATGCGTACGCCTTAACCATTGGGACCAAGCTATCGATTTAGCCAAAACTTACAAAATGGCACAAATTGGTGAATTACTGAACAAATATGCTAATCATCTTTTATCCAATGGTAAGAGATTGCAAGCTATTGAGTTATATAAGAAAGCTAATTATTATTTGGAAGCGGCTAAATTGTTGATACAACTTGCGGAAGAGCAAGCTAAGTTCAGAACTAATCCGTTGAGAGTTAAAAAAATATATGTTCTTGCTGCATTATTGATAGAGGATCATATTAACAGCATACCAACGATAAAGGGAGGGCGTAGCAATGTTGTGATGGGTTTAACGGAAAGCAACGAAGATACAAAAATAATAGAAAATGCTTGGCGTGGTGCTGAAGCATATCATTTTCTTTTATTAGCTCATAGACAAATCTACGATGGTAATTTCGATGCTTCAATGAAAACTGCTTTGAGACTTAGAGAATATGAAGATATTTTAGAATTAGAAGATATTTATTGTCTACTTGCATTATCAAGCGCGGTTAATCATGCTTTTGCTACGTGTTCTAAAGCTTTTATCAAATTGGAAGCTTTTGAAGCTATTCCAGAGTCAAAAAGAGAAGAGTATGAAGAATTGGCTGTAAATATTTTTACTAAACACAATCCTAAAGACACGCGTAATGTAAAAGCTGAATGCGTCAATTGCGAAACTTTAATACCTGATTGGTGCGTTATATGTCCAAATTGTATGACCAGATTTCCGGCTTGTATAGTGTCTGGTAAACCTTTGATGGATCTCAGTAATGCTTGGACTTGTACCGTTTGTAGACATCATGTAGCTACTGAACGTGATGTCGTTAATATTAATGCTTGTCCATTGTGTCATAGTACGATCACGTATATGTAAAATTAATTATTCTATTATATTCTTATATAATTATTATTATCTGTATTCCGTCCAACGTTATAGTACAAAACTATAATAATAATAAGTAGTTTAGTTTCTTTATCACGAATGCACAGTTACAATATTCTAGCATTCGCTTGATCTCAAATATTAGACTGTATTTTATTTCTTATATACAAGAAATAATATTATTATAACGAATAAAAATCCGTCCATGTAACTAATATTAAATATTAATTATTGACAAAAAAATACAAGAGTTGTAATTGTTATTTAGAAATGAAAATATACACGATTAAAATATGAAATAAATAAAGTTTACTCTTAATATTTTTCTTTCTCCATATTTTAATTTATTTTATTTATTTATACGAATTATTAATTTACAATGTAGCATAATAAAATAGAAAGATAGATAATGAATTAAAAAATAGAATTATCGATAAAATTTTGCCCGCGTAAGCGAAGAGATTACAAGCGATTCAAACATAAATTTTTCGCGAGTAGGTTGCGCGCGCAGGTCGCGCATGCGCGTGACTATTGGCACGCGTTTCCAAGCACGAGTCGCACAGTGCGTTTCGGGCGTTCAACGGAGGAAGTGAATGTGTGTTGTTTCTCTCCGTTGCATCGCGTTTTTCTTCATCGTCGCGGTTTATATTAAATTTTCTTCGAGGATCTTTAGTTTATTTCTTTATTCTTTTTTTTTATTTTTTCTATATCACTCTGTCTCTATTTTTAATCTTTCTAATTCATCATATTAGTGAATATATAACAAAAGGTGCTTACGTGAGTTAACTATATCAAAACTGTTATTGGTTTCTATTGTGAGGTTTTTTTGTAAATAAATAAATCGTTCCTTGTGAAGAAGATAAAGAAGAAGTAAAAGAAGAAATCAAAATGAGTGGAAGAACGACAAAGATGGTTCTATTAATTGCTTTGATCGTTTTTTATACGACTACGTTCGTTAACGGCGCCGGCTTAAAATGTGACGCTGTCAGGCCGGATTTTGAAGCGCAGGGCTTTCCACCAAGTGACATACCAAAGGAACCAATTTCATGTGAGTTTATTTATTTATTCTCTTTCATTCTTTTATTTTTTATTCAATAATGCAACAATGAAATTCAATTCGATTAGTGATAATGTACATTAACACAATCGGGAATATATTGAATTATTAATTTGTACTTAATGATACAATAATTATATCAAACTTTGTTAAAAGAAGAATTTAATAATGTTTGCTGATCATAATGACGTTAATGTACATTAAAAAAAACCAAAGAATTTATTATGTAATGAATTTTTATGAAATAATAAAACAATTATATGTAATTCATTCAAAAGTGGGGGAAGGTTAGAATGACATTCACTGATTACAGTAGTAGTAATGTTCGTTAAAAAACGCGGGTTTATGTTGCATTATTAAATTTTATTATTATCAAAGCTTTTATTTTAAGAGATGATTCGAAAGTGAAGTGGCAGGGGAGGGTTAAAAGGATTGGGGTGATTTGATGATGTACTTACGCTGATCGTAATGGTGCTAATACATATTAACAAACGTAGGGATAATTGGATAATATAATTTACTGTGTAATAGTCACTTTATCGATCGAGTTTGACATTGATTCGAATTATTCAATATCGTAACGTTAATAACTTTCTAGGGTAAAATTTATAGAAGCAGATTAGAAATATTTTTTCGAACGTTATTTAAATGTTTTCATTTTAGTTTTTTTTTTTTTTTTTTTATTACTTCGTATTCGAGAATCGTATTATTTTCCCCCTCATTTCAAGAAGATAGATTCGTGAGTAAGATTTGGAAAAGATTTCTTTTTTAAAGATAATGCACATTTTATATGTTTTATAGTAATTAATTAATCGATCTTGATCAAGGGACTTTTTTTTATTAAATTGTAATAGTGGTGCATAATTGTTAACATTTGAATTTGATTTAAAACGTTTGAAAGAATATTTTTTTGAGAGATTATAATTAATTAGATAGTTTTTGAAAAAAGATTGGATACAAAATAGAATTTAGTATGAAAATGACGTTTTTCAGTTCTTAACGAGAAGGAGGAAGTGCGTGTGTGTGAGTGAGAAAGAGTGAGAGAGAAAAGAAGCAAAGTTCTCTCGTATAATATGATCGTCCTTGTAACTAGTCCTGCTGGATCGTTCGTGTAGATCATAAATTATCTACCGTACTGTATGGGTATATCCTAAAATAGTTTTGCACAGCTGCGACCGTTGCGGTTGATAGTTTTCGGAGCCTAAGTTCGAAGGGTGATATATTTTTTTTTTCATTATTATTATTATTATTTTTATTAAACGTATCCGCAAGTTCAATAAAAAAATAATTTAAAAAAAAATAATTAAAGTTAATGACCAACATAAACGAGTTGTTTTGTTGAACGAAGTCTTTTAAATATAAAACAAAAAGAAACTAACAAGAACGATGGAGAAACAACACCAAAAAAGGATTTATTTTTTTGTTTCTTTTTCTTTTTAATTTTTTCTTATAATTTATTATACAGCATGTTTTTTTAAGAAATTAAATAGATAATATTAAAATATATGTATATAAATTTTTGTGCTTATTTATTCTTCCTTTTTTTAATTGTAATTTATAAATTTATATACTATGAGTTTAAAAAAACTTTAGGAATTAAGTAAAATATAAGAAAGAAATTTAAGAAATAGGATTACTAGGATTTGATTTTCTTTTTATTTTCTAAATTCTTTTTCATAAAAATTAATTAATTATACGAATTTTAATTAATAATTATATATATAATATAATTTATATATTTATTTATATTTTTTATAATATTTTATTATATTATATATAACTATATTATATAACATAATTATTATAATTATATTATATAATTATAATTGTATAATAATTATATAATACGAAATTGATTGTATATAATTAGTAGTAATATATAATAATTAATAATTAATAAAAATATGTAATTAATCGTATATAATTAATATATTACTTCTAAAATGAAACATATGATATAAAAAATAATAAGAAAATTTTTACAATAACCATAAATAAAATGAATTCTTACTATATTTTACTTCAATCATTTATTTTTTTCAGTTTTTATTAAAATTTATTTTTATAATTTATACTACAAGTTAAAAAAAAAACTTAATGAATCGAATAAAAATCGATGAAATTTAGGAACTACTATAATAAATATAAAATAAGGTTTATTTTTACTTCTTTTTATTCTTTTTTTTGTTTCTTATGTTAGAATTTATTAATGCAAACTTTATGTTAAAAAAAAAAAAAAAGAAAAAGGAAGAGTAAAACTTAATAAGCGATAGATCGTCTGCTTTCTCTCTCCTCTCCTCTCTCTCTCTCTCTCACTCCCTCTTTCTATCTCTTTCTCTCTTATGATAGTAGAGTCGTAAATCCAAATATCCTACGAGAATGGTTGGGATTTATTTCGCGAAATTCCAGGGAGTTGATTTGTGAGGTCCCGCGACGCGTCAGGTACCATAATTTATGGTCGATGAGTTATGCGCTTTGTTCACTTAAGGGTGGACTCATCGGTAAAAGAAAGTAAAAAAAAAAAAAAAGAAAAGAAGAAGAAAGAGACAAAACGAACTGGAAGTGTAAAATAAACGAAAAAGAAAAAAAGAGAACGTGAAATTTAAGATTTGCACTCGAAAATCGAACATTTTTTAAATACAGTTTTTTTTTTATGTAAGACTCTTATAAAAAAAAAATGTGGTACGAAGTTTTAAGATCGTAAATTTTTGCTTCATTATTTTATTTTCTTTTTGGAAATATTTTGTAGGCTTTTATTAACCCTTTGAGTGCTATGGACGCATTTATACGTTTGGTAAAAATTACTAACCTGATCGTTCGAAGCATATACGTATTTGTTAATATTAATGTAAAATAATGTAATGTTTATATTAATTATTTAAATTATATTCACAGAAAGAAAAATTTTAATTATTAACACGTTCCGTGCCAAGCCCTTTTTACTTGACTTGTGATTCAAGCCATTTAATTTTGCTGTAACAAAATCAACCATTACATGTAATTATTAATTATTGTTAATATAATAATTAAACAAATTTATGTGCTTTGTTCTATACTGCATTTTGTATAATGCATCAATATTTTAATATGAATATTTTTGTACAGAATTAAATTTGTTACAAAAATATATTTTAGCGTATTAATTAAATATATCAAATGGTAAGTGTACCACCGGTACACGTGGCAAGGAACGTTTTAAATATAATTTATTATTAGAATCTACTTAATAATAAATTATTCCGTTTCTATAAAACATTTTAGTTAAAAGTATTCACCACTCAAAGGGTTAAATCAATGTATATGTGTTAAAAAAATCTGAAATATAATTAGAGTGTATTTGAGTATTAAAATAATTGTTAATTGATTGATGGAAGTGTCTATTATTGTTTAAAAGCATGAAATATATGTCAGGAGTACCGTCTTCCTCGAAATCAGCTGTTAAACTGGGTCATTGTCCTCTGTCAAAGTTATTTTGTTAAATATTGTTTATATGACATTTCGAAAGTCGCGCATATGTGTAACGTGAAATAATATTCTTAATAAATCGAAATTAAGATTAGAACGTTATGATTTTAACATTTTTAAATATTTTATATATTTATTTGAATTAAAATATATTTTTTTTAACGATCATGCGCAGTGATGACTTCAAAGGGTAATATTTTTATCTAATATTATAAATGTATATAATATTATATATAGTATTATGAAATAAGATTAAAATTAATTTAATATTCAACGTATAATAATATATAATATTTAACACTTACAGTGCTATAGATGCATATACGCGTTTGGTAAAAATGACCAAAGTGGTTTATCGACGTGTAATTAAGTTTTGTAGTTTTATCACATTTAAAAAAAAATATATATATATATATATAATTTTAATCAAAAGATTCTTGAAAGAAAAATAAATATTTGTTCTTTAAAATCATTGAAAAATTGAACTCTTCATGATTCGTCTTTCATTAAAATAAAATCAAAGTTGAATCACCTTTGAACCACCTGAATATATTAAATCACTCTTTGTAGATCGTAAATTTTTTTTTTTTTAAAGTTCCTTTCTTCTCGATTCGATTAAATCGTTATCAAAAATCGATAATAAAATAAATATTTGTGTTTTATAAATAAAAATTCTAACAGGAAATATAAAATCGTAAGAAAATGTTTCTATCTCTACAATTTTAGTCCTCGAACTCGATTTTCATGATCGTTGAAGAAATATTTATTTTTCTTATCTTGAAAATTGTTTACTTTAACTTACCACAGGGATTTAATAAACGAAATCTTTTTTACTCTTTCTTTCTGCATATATATGTATACTTGTATATATATGTAAACACACCACACACGTATACACAAACAAAAAATATTACACATAAGGGTAGGGGTCGTGTCGTCTAACTATGGTTGCATATTTTTCTCTTTTTTTCTTCTTTCTCTTTGTTTCTTTCTTTCTTCTACTCACACATACATCTACGTAACATATACTATCGTACTCGTAACATACGAAAGATATTTATCATCTATTCCTTATCATTACGACTTTTTTGTGTTTATATACACGCACTTACGCATATTTATACACTCACACATACATAAGCCGATATCGGACTTATATATTCACACATACACACATGCATATCATATATTACACGCAAGCATATAACAGACACACATACATATAAAAAAAACGTATGTATATATATATATATATATATATATATATATATAGAAATGCGCACGTGTGTTGGGGATACACCACCCACGTATGTAGGAGTTGCATTTATCGGCAAGATGAAAGAGTAAAAAAAAATGCGTTAGTTGCGTCGCGTTCCGTTATTTAATGGAGGTTGACTAAAGATGTTTGTCTCCTTTTCTATCTACCTATCTATCTATCTATTTATCTCTCTCTCTCTTTCTCCCTCCCTTTTTTGTTGGTAGCGTCATGGATCTCTTTTACCGGTGGTTGTGTTTTACTAGTGTTG